TCTCATGTGTCTCATCACCCATAGAAATGTATTGCCTTTCCACTTTAATGAGTTGATCGGCCCTATTGCTTTGCCTACAGATGCTGCTAAGGCCAAACAAAGCTGCCAATCTGTTCCTACCCTTCTTCCACACTTAGGGGGTAATGTATAATGTGTTCGCGCAGCATATAGCTGTTCGAACGATGTGCACAGCACAATACTGCCATTAGATGGCATCGAGGACCATAGGAAATGCTCCATCTAGTGGCAGTAATGATGTGCAGTGAACATCTATCGCACTGCTGTGTGCGCGATGACTTCAACAGGACTTAGACCACTGGAGCCAGGGCCGGATTTACTCTCTCTGCTGCCCCATGGCCAGGCTCCTCAATGCGCCCCCCTCCCAACCCCCCCCCCATCTAATTGTAGAAAACAATTACCTGCCAAGCGCCTGGAAATGCATGTCCCAGGCATCAGGAGATAGGAATTCCACAACCCTGCTGCCCCTCTACTCCCTGCTGCCCCAAGGCTGGGCCTTGGTTGGCCTTGTGTGAAATCCGGCCCTGGGGCTAGCTGTAGTCTGGACCTCCCATGGCTTTGAGTACTCCAGCGTCCACAATGGTGCCAGAGTGGATAAAATTAGGTGTTTTGTACCCTACTATTTTGGTAAAAGACAGAGTGTTCCTTTAGTCAATTGATTGCAGAAAAGAAAATGGCTCCATTCAGCAGCTCTATAGAATGGGGGGTTTTATTTTTGAATGGCGAGCTGCATCAACAGCAGCAGTCCTGGAGCACTTTGATACCTTTCGCACCTTATGATTTTAGTGCAAAAAGTATTAAGTTGTTCCAGGGCTGTTGACACATCTCGCCATTTTAAAATAAAAACCTCCCAATCTCTGCATTGACCAATTTATTTTTCTGTGCATTTGCAATTGCAGCCGAGCAAGGCTGTGGAGTCAGCGGCACAGCTAGAGATTCTTCCATTGCCTTTAACTGAATGCATATACTTAACAAAAGTATTATTCTCCATATTGCAGGATTCTGAAACGCAACAATTATCAAAAACTGGGACCATGTCACGCAAGATAAGTGTAAAATCTATGGGACAGGCTCAGAACTCATTTGGGTAAGTGTAGCCTAAGATTGATAATTAATTGATATAAGATTGATATTCAGAATTTTAAGTGGTGTCTGAACCAGGTTGGAACTGTAATGGGCAGGGCTACTTTAAAATATAGCTGAGACTGCCCCTGCCTTAAGTGTGCCTCCTGGCTGACATGTATAAACAAAACCACAGAAAGTGTATAAAAGAACAGTTCCCTACACAAATTATGCTTTTTTTTATCCAGTTGGTAGAGCAGGTCTCACCTTGGATAGATTTTATGATGCATGCTGTTTTGCTAGGTATCTTTGTGAGTTTAGAATATTCATGTTCTATTTGTGGTGTAGTATTGTGCAAAGGTGACCAGTCTGGAGGGAGCTGCAAAGCCATGGCTATTATTACTCACTACAAAGGAAATATTTTAATAGGTTCTTCTTATTCAACAATGTTTGTTTTTTACAAGATAAAATAGTACAACACAATAATACAACAAAAGGAAGAGAGGGAAAAAAAGGGAGCAAAGACTATAAAGAGAGAACTTGTGTACATATGTCATAGGAACAATAAACAGCAAGGCATATGTAAAATCCTTGGATCCGATCCTTGGATAATAAGAGCCATGTACATAGGATGTTTTGCACTGTCAGCAAGGCTCCATGGTATAAACATCCAATAACCAGAAGCAACCTCATAAAAAAAAGAAAGAGGGAAAGAGGAAAGAAAAAAATAGAAAGAAGCCAAAAAGTGAAAGGAAGAAAAGAAGTAACCTATGGTTAAAGTCAGGAGGCACAAGGGTCCCAAGCCAAAAAGTGAAGAAAAGAAGTGGCAGAAAGGATGGATAAAGGTAGGGAATTGAGAGTAAAGGGGGAGGGGAGGCATCCCGGGAGTGTAAGGCAATCCGAATGTCCAAAAATGTGTCTGCATTTCAATTAGGAATTAAACGAATCATAGGTCTAAGGGCAACTCAACCATCAGCCAACCAAAGTTGCCTATATTTTTCAGATATTGAGTAACCTACAGTCAAAATTAGGAGGCAAGTAGCATGCATCCCAGGGGTTCCAAGCCAAAAAGTGAAAGGAAGAGAAGAAAAGAAGAGGCAGAAGGAACCGATAAACAATGGGAGGGAGAGTGAAGGGGGAGAGGAGGTATCCCAGGAGTATAATAAGGCCAACCACTATCAGACAACCAAAGTTGCCTATATTTTTCATGGCATGGAAGGCATCCCATGGGTGTAAGGCAACCCAACCATCAGGCAACCAAAGTTGCCTATATTTTTTAGATATCGAGTAACCTATGGACAAAGTCAGGAGGCAAGAAGCACGCAACTCAGGGGTCCCAAGCCAAAAAGTCAAAGGAAGAAAAGAAAAGAAGAGGCAGAAGGGAAGGATAAAGAAAGGAATGGAAAGTGAAGGGGGAAAAGAGGCATCCAAAGGGTTTAAGACAACCCACCTATTAGGCATTTGCCTATAGTTTTCGGATATTGACTAACCTACAGTCAAAGTCAGTGTGCTACCAAGGGGTCAGAAAGCCAAAAAGTGAAAGGAAAAGAAGAGGCAGAAGGGAACAATAAGGAAAGGGAGGGAAAGAGATAGCGAAAGTGAAGTAAGGGGTATAAGGCAACCCAGCCATCAAGCAACCAAAGTTGCCTATATTTTTCAGATATCTAGTAACCTATGGTGAAAGTCTGGAGGCAAGTAGCATGCAACCAAGGGGGTCAGAAGCTAAAAAGTGACTCGAAGAAAAGAAGAGGCAAAAGGGAAGGATAAAGAAAGGGAGGGAGAGTGAAGGGGAGGGGAGGCATCCTAGGGGTGTAAGGCAATCCATAAACCAAAAACGAAAAGATTCCCCGGAGAAACAGTTGATTGATTAAAACATGCATAGATAGAGCGTCCCTTACGGGGCATAACAATTACAAATCACTGTAGGTCTGTAACTAGGCATAACATATGAAAGAACAGAGGATGGTCGCAAACACTATCCAGTGCGCTGACCAAAGAAGTTACTTCAGACCATTATTAGAGAGAAATAAAAAAATATTTTATTGATAAGTGAACTATGCATGAAAAATATTCCACCAACTCCAAAAAAAGCACCTTAAAATAGACAACGTTGTCTCTTCATTCATGTAAAACCACATTCATACCCAAGGGGTTAGACTTATTTCCACCATCCAACATATACACAGTATCACCATGGATTATTCTGCCCATCAGTCACATGGAGACTTGATTCACATTGGTGTGTATTTCCTTCACTGGTTTTAACCAATCTATTCTGGGCGTTGTATGCAGAAAAAACCTAGTGAATGGAATTGTGAACTGCCTATATCCGTATTATCAAGCAAGTTCATAGAGAGATAACCATATCTCGGTTTGTGCGTGAAGTAACATTATCTCGTTTTTTTAAGTGTTCGCCTGTCGTAGATTATAAACGTAAGTTCAGAGACGGTCTTTGGATTGTTTCTTTTCTCTTTTGGTGTCTTTAGATAGACAGCATAGATGCAGGACTCAGATGGACTCATCCACCATCATTAATCTTTCTAGTATATATAGAGTGTCCAATTTGCTTGACAGCAGAGTATCTAATGATGTTTTCCCGATCCTTGGCTCACAGATCTATTGAACAATGTTCAGGCAGAATTACAATTGTAACTTAAACGTGTTACTCACGATCACCCGGGATTGATTGTCGAGGAGCCGGTTCATAAACGCTGCACGTTATATCAGGTATCCAATCTCAATTTTTGCAGGAACATTTCCTTTTAAGTGTAGCGGTATTGCTCAGAGGTTGTGCAGTGGGTACTGACTGGTTTTCCCCTTTGGTTGAAAAGTCCAGTGACTGAAGAATTATTAATCCATGGTTTTTGGTTAATTCAAGGGGGCAATGCTGAAAATATATTTTGCATGCTCCGCGATGGTTCAAGCTAACCCGCAAGCCTACAGAAACGTTGATGCGTTTCGCCCCTCCTCCTGGGGCTTCGTCAGGAACTACACATGGGGTAAGGATGTAACCTTTTTATAGGAAGTCCAATTGTTTCGTCTATTAACCCCTTCTGGTTTGACACCGATATTTTTTGATATGGATGGTTTGTACAAGAATCTTTCACCAATCACCCATTCCATTATTCTTACAGCTAAATATATGTGTAGGTTATGTCAAAAAATATATATATAAAATATATATATATAATATATATAGTATAGAAATATACAGGAAAGGGGGGTCTATGTGAGTCAGGTATATCAGGAAATGTGGAAATGTGAAGAACACCTATAGGGCTCAGCAATTCAAATATAATACAACATTCTCTAATTCATTTATAAGAAAACTTGTAAGTTAAACTCTGCGTTTAGTCCCTTCGGGGCTAGAGTATCCAATCTATACATCCACATTTTTTCTTTTTGTTTAAGGATTTTATCAAAATCCTCCCTTCTAGCTGAGGGATTTAATGCATAGATTCCTTTAACTTTTAACCCTTCAGGGTTGCCATTGTGGTATTTGTCAAAGTGTTGGGCGATGGGACTATCCATGTGTGCTGTTTTTTTATGGAAGTTTTTGATATCCCTCAAATGTTCGCCCAGCCTGACACATAGTTGGCGCTTCGTCTTGCCGATGTAATATTTGCCACAAGGGCATTCCAGTTGGTAAATTACCCTGCTTGTAGTGCAATTAATTAATTGTTTTATGTTGTAGTTCTTTCCCCCATCACTTGTGCAAAATGTTTTACTTTTTTCCACAAAAGGGCAAATCTGGCACCTACCGCACGGGTGCATGCCTACCACCTTTGGTTTTTCCTCCCTTAGCCATGTATCTCTGGTAGTAGATTTATACTCTGAGGAGACCAGTTGGTTCCGTAGGTGTAGTATATGCCAGTGTTTTTGCAGAATTTTATTTAGCTCCTCCCATTGTGCACCAAATTGAGTTATAATGCGGACACCGGGGAGCATGCAAAATATATTTTCAGCATTGCCCCCTTGAATTTGCCAAACACCATGGATTAATAATTCTTCAGTCACTGGACCTTTCAACCAAAGGGGAAAACCGGTCAGTACCCACTGCGCAACCTCTGAGCAATACCGCTACACTTAAAAGGAAATGTTCCTGCAAAAAAAATCGAGATTGGATACCTGATATAACATGCAGCGTTTATGAACCGGCTCCTCGACAATCAATCCCGGGTGATCGTGAGTAACACGTTTAAGTTACAATTGTAATTCTGCCTGAACATTGTTCAATAGATCTGTGAGCCAAGGATCGGGAAAACATCATTAGATACTCTGCTGTCAAGCAAATTGGACACTCTATATATACTAGAAAGATTAATGATGGTGGATGAGTCCATCTGAGTCCTACACCTATGATGTGTATATAAAGACACCAAAAGAGAAAATAAACAACCCAAAGACCGTCTCTGAACTTACGTTTATAATCTATGACAGGCGAACACATAAAAAACCGAGATAACGTTACTTCACGTACAAACCCGAGATATGTTTGTCTCTCTATGAACTTGCTTGATAATACGGATATAGGCAGTTCCGAATTCCATTCACTAGGTTTTTTCTGCATACAACGCCCAGAATAGATTGGTTAAAAAAACCAGTGAAGGAAATACACATCAATGTGAATCAAGTCTCCATGTGACTGATGGGCAGAATAATCCATGGTGATACTGTGTATGGTGGAAATAAGTCTAACCCCTTGGGTATGAATGTGGTTGTACATGAATGAAGAGACAACGTTGTCTATTTTAAGGTGCTTTTTTTGGAGTTGGTGGAATATTTTTCATGCATAGTTCACTTATCAATAAAATATTTTTTTATTTCTCTCTAATAATGGTCTGAAGTAACTTCTTTGGTCAGCGCACTGGATAGTGTGTGTGACCGTCCTCTGTTCTTTCATGTGTAAGGCAATCCAACCATTAGGCATCCAAAGATGGGGAAAGTGAAGTAAGGGTTATAAGGCAACGCAACCAAAGTTGCCTATTTTTTCAGATATCAAGTAACCTACGGTCAAAATCAGGAGACAAGTAGCGGGCAACTCATGGGTTTAAGTTTAGGCATAGTGTCCATACTGCTCCTATTTATGTCACATCTAAGTAGGTATATAGGGAAAAAAGTTTAGGAGTTTCTCCTACTATGCTATGCTATGGTGGACACAGGGACAACATTTCCAATTTGTCAGTTCCTAGACTGTATATTTAATGCATTATAAACCAGCCCCATTGTGTAGCAATAATACAACTGCTGCAACTGAACCAGTAACATGCTATCACTGTGTGTTGATACAGGAGAAGCTGTCGGATAAAAGATCCAGTTTCTCCCCCGGTGGTTCCTGATATGTTTCCATGGTCAGAGTGAGTATTTTTTTAAGTTTTATTTGTATTTTAAAATTCAGTCCAATCAACACACAACTAAAAAATAATATCTCAATTATATATAAAAAGACATGACAATCTCATACAAACAATTAAAAACAAATAGTTTCCTAAGGAATATCACTTCATATGCACCACAGACACTCCAAAAGTGGCACTCCTGTGCAGAGATGTTCCTGTTTTGGGACAGCAATGTATGCACAAGCAGACCGAGAGTGATTGTCACTGTGATAGGTTAACTGAGCAATTAACCCTTTATACACACACAGTAGTCCCCACCACTTGTGTTAATGGACACTCATACCATTCACAGCATCTGCTGTTGCAATTCTGGACTTTAAAGAAAATATCTGCATCATATTGCTACACCCAGACAAGAATGTAACAGAGTTTTACTCTACAACAGCTCCTAAATACTTTAATTATTAGTTAGAGCAGGGCTCAAAATTTCCACCCGCCCGCTCGCATTTGGCGAGTGGAAATAAAGAGAGGGCGAGTGGAAATTCAGTCAGGCACGCGGTCACGGATCGCGTACCTGACTATGAGAGCAGCCGCTCCTTGCTGTCCTGTCCTGGCTCCGTTACTTTCGATCGATCACCGGAGCTCTGACAGTTCTGAGCCCCGTTCGCAAGGATGGATTAGTAAGGTCTGCAGACCTTACTGCAGAGAACGGAGCTCAGAACTGCAGAGCTCCGGCCGAAAAGGAACGGAGCCAGGACAGAGAACGGTGGGGTATTATTTTATATGGGGGGAGGCAGAGAACAGGGGGGAGGGTATTTATTTTATATGTGGGGATGTGGAGGGCCGCAATGTTTACATTGCTTTATCTTAATATTGTTGTTGTTAATATTTATTTTTGTAACTTTATTCTGCCTTCAACATTTAAAAGTGTAATTTCATAAGATAATTTAAGAGGGTGGGTTTAGGGGCGGAGTTAAGGCCTAGGCAGGGTTGGGGTTAGGTGGGGCAACTGGTGGCGAGTAACTCTTAAGGCCTGGCTAGTAGTTTAGGACTTGAAATTTTGAGCCCTGAGTTAGAGCATTCAGAGATTCAGCCTAACAATTTTTAAATACTATTTTAATGAAAAAAAAGAAAAATGGCACAAGAGGTAAAGTTTGTCTGGTCTTTGATTCTGTGCAGAGTAAAATTTGCTTGGAGTAAGTCAAATATGATGGATGTCAAATGAGAGCTGCAGCTGCCAAATGCAACGACTTTTTGTTGTCCATTGAGGGGGTGTTCCTGATTTAATCACATCTAATCAAAGTGTTCGAGAGGGAGGGCTGTGTCGATAGGTGTGCTGGTGTATTTTATAATGTCCCAGTGGACATACCCTTTATGCCAGCTATCCTAAATACATCCTATTTCCATACAATAAAGTTTCACAATCTGACAACCAACATATTGTTTTACAGAATAAAATTACAATTTGATACCAAATATGACCTAGATCTTATTAATATTTCTCTTTGAGAAACCGAGCCATGGAGGGAGCCCAGTGGCTGTCAGTATTAGGCACTGGTGCTTTTAGTGGTGTACACCCTTATTTTGGGGAATCCTCTTAAATCACCACTTCAGTACTATAAGACATCCAGGCTGGTATCAGCATACCGGGAGTGCTGCAGGGTTCCTGCTCACTTTCCATGGGGATACCAGGAGGAATTCCTAGTGTGTGAGACTGATTATTTCTAAAGGGGTGAGGAAACCCTTTTTAAAATGTTTAAATGTTTTTTTAAATCTTTTTATTTAAATAAAAATACATTTAACTTTTTTAGTTCTAAAACTGTATAAATAATGTAATAAAGAAGGAAAAACAACTAGCATTCAAATGGCAGCCTAAACATTTTTATATTGGTATTCTATATACAACGTATCTTCTCTCTGTAATTCCTTCTATTCTCTGGTATTATTTTAGAATCCCCAATGGAACATCTTCCAGTATTCCTAATTCCCCCAGTGTGAATAGCGTTCCTCCTTTCTCCCCTCTACTAGCCTTGTCTGAGCACTGTGACCCTTCTGTAGATGAAAGGCAGATAACAAGATCAGGTGAGTAAAAGTGTCTCACTGCTGGCCTCTTTTTTGAGTCTTGTTCTATCATCTAGTGATGCTCAAAATGTTGAAAGCTCAAATTTGTCTGCCAACTAAACACATCTTCCTTTTTATTTGTACTGGATTATGTATATGTGATGTCTGCTCTAGGCAATTATACTTACCCTGTACTTACTCTCTCCATGGTCCAGCAATATCCTAAGCTTCCTCTTCCATCCTTCACGAATGGTCCTCTTTGGGCAAAACGATACTCACACCAGGCTGCCTATTTCCTTTGAGCCCAGGCTGTCACTGACATATGCCCTTGGGGGAGCATCATCAAATAAGCTAGACTTACAGGACTGACCTCACCTGCACTCCCATGTGACTCATGAGCACTCCTCAATCCAGGACGAATGTCCACCCTGCAGAAAAAAGAAGTTGCCATGCCGTCACTGGTCTCCCTTTTTAGGTCCATTTTAAAAATATCATGCAGTAAATGGCCAGTCTTTAGATTATTAAGGAGAACCTGTTATTAAAATAAATAATGCTACTGATGCAAGCTTATCCTATCCTTATTGGGGTTGGTGGCCAATTAAGAAATTAAAGAGTCGGTATAGGTGATCTGACTACTGAATTGGCCTCTTTTACACCACAGAGGATCTCCACTGTCTCCTTGATTTGTAGAGCCAAATTGCAGGAGTGTGAATAAAAAATGCCACACTCCATTTATTAGTTTAAACACATCTGTATTCAATATAGGGTTGAGGGGACGGTATAGAAGAAGCCAACACATTTTGGGGATTCATACAAATACCCCCTTCATAATGACTTAAAATTGAATATCATTTTGTCCAGTATGTGAGAATGCATAGAGACAAAATCAGGCACTTTCAGGGGGTGAGTGTTGTGGTTTTATATTTAATTGGCATCTTGTTTGACCCTGGGAAGTGTACTGTAGATCAGTGGTTCTCAACCTGTGTAACCTCAGGACTCACAATTTTCCTTGGTCATTAAGTCGTGACCCAAGTCGCAGTGCAATGGAATGAACGGAATTAGGGTACCGCCCGTTCCAGTGCGGGCACACGAGCATTGCTTGTGCTCGTTCCTTGTGTCACCTGTAGAGGTGCAGGGAGCCAGAATGTGATGTCACTCCAGGCCAGGCACCTCTATAGGACACTTGAGGGAGCTGTTAGCAATGTATGTATGGATGGAGCTCCCTCGCGGCCATAGTTCCAGCCCATCCCACCTCAAGCTGACACTTGGCACCGGGCAGCATATTTTGAATGGCTGCTTGGCACGAGAACTGACAGTGCTGCTCTAGGGGGAGGCAGAGGAGTCTCTCACCTAGAAAAGTGGCAGGCACGTGGTGACCCACTGAACATGGGGTCGCAACCCACTTTTGGGTCACGACCCACCAATTAAGAACCAAGGCTGTAGATCATCTTCTCTGACTGACAGCTATGTCAGCCATCAGAATACATTTTTTTATTTTCACAATAAACTTTTTCAGATACTGCTCCCCTTTGTCCTCCTAAGGTCAAATACTGGTATCAGTCCAGCTCTCCTCTTCCCATATTACCCCCATCTGGCTTGATGTTTAGATGACAAGCAGGCTCATCTTTCTACTTCTTTGAACTCTGTCTTGGGAATTCCTGTGGATTTAACATTTTGCACAAAGTAATTTCCTATTGGCTCAGTAAAGTACTGGAGAATGATATCAGTGGAAGGACTAAATTATTATAATACATTTCAATACCAGTTCTTTAGAAACTCGGGATCAGCACTATGGATAGCGCATAAGGCTTCTTTCCATTAATTTTTAAGGAAAGCTTGTGCTAGGAGAAATATAATGACTGTCCATTTATAAACTCTTTTTGGTGATGCTGTTTGCCTGTCTGTTATGCTGATCTTCTGATTGCAGTACCTTCTCCATTGCGGACCTGGAACAATTATGCAGTGAGTGAAGTCAGAACTAAGTCTACCATACTAAATTGAAGGCTTGTTCTCCATCAGTGACTTAGAAGGAGATGTCAACAATGGCAGCTTTAATGTTTCTGCAAATATAGGTTTAATTTACTGTGCATGTAAAGCCCAAACTTTTTCCAGTATTGGATAGAGTAGGTGAATGGATTTCCTTTCACTCCCTGTCCTAGAACATAGCGGGAAGTAAGGGGAGCATTCTTAAACTCCCCACATCCCCAGGTTATAAGGCAGCATTTTGATGAGAGTTGCACAGTAACAAGAAAATGCATTGAAAATGACTTTTTAAAATTACATGAAGGTCATTTCCTTTTATTTTATTTTTTTATACAGTTGCTTCATACACTTAGTGCCTTTAGGCTTAGTCTACTCTCTAGTCTCAATATTGTCCATTTTCACTTCCTATACAGGCTCTAGTTTCCTTGACCTCTCTAAAGTGATTTCCTAACTCCCTCCAAGTCCCTCACAAACTAATCAGTGGGCCTGCTTGCAGGATAGAGCAACAATGATTCTGCAAGTATATCTGTTGTAATACAGTAGACATGATAAAATTATATTACCATCCTCATAGATATACTGTATAGTGCACTTGGCTATTCAATAACTTCAAGATAAAATAAACGAATGAAAATATATATAAGAAATCAACTTGTGTAAGAAATAGTATAAGTCTGTAAAAGTGACCTCTCACTTAGTGAATATCCCAGTGATAAATGTGAAATTATAAATGCAATAGTTTCTACAACCAAGTGTTGGATCTCTATAAATCAGTGACAGTATTCCATATACATTCCATAAAAACAAAACAAAATAGTGTCCATCTATATAGTAAAAGTAATCAGCAGTGATGGTCCTTATGTGAATACAAGCCCTCTACAAACGACCACACGTTCATCCAATCAGTGCTCTGTGTGAACGTTCTTCTCCCACTATGTGCTCAAGAAAGACTCACCAGCTTCTTATGACACTCTGAAATAGAGTCAGAAAACACTGAGTTCCCAATATTCCGATCAATCCAGCATGTGCAATCCACTTTAATCAATCTTCCTCCACTTCCCCTATATTCGTCCTCGTTCCCCAGGATAATCATTTAGTGATTCACCATAACCATGCTCATAGTGCAGTAGGTAAAACAAATGTTTTTATTAAAAGCAATCTATTCACATTCAGTATTAAAAAGCCGTCATATGTTCAATCCTCCTGCTTTTTCTGCATGCGTGATGGCGTCAGCAAGCCCTGCCTTAACATGTTTCATCACATAGAATTTTTTTTAAAAACCTGTGGCTGTCTGCCACTGCTTGACAGCCACTGCTTTTTGAAAAAGTCTATACTATTACGGGGGGCGTGGCTGCTGTGCCATTGACTGAACACAGGGAGCCGGCCGGGTTGCGTTCCAGAGCCCAAATGCTCTGGAACACACTTTTTGTGGTGTGAATTGGCCCTGAGAGTTTCATAAGAATCTGGCGAGTCTTTCTTGAGCGCATAGTGGGAGTAGAACGTGCACACAGAGCACTGATTGGATGAACCGGTGGTTGTTTGTATTCACAGAAGGACTATCACTGATGATGACTTTTACTATATTGATGGACACTATTTTGTTTGTCTTTATGGAATGTACTTATATGGAATATACACACTATATTGCCAAAAGTATTGGGACGCCGGCCTTTACACGCACATGAACTTTAATGGCATCCCAGTCTTAGTCTGCTGGGTCCAATATTGAGTTGGCCCACCCTTTGCCGCTATAACAGCTTCAACTCTTCTGGGAAGGTGTCCACAAGGTTTAGGCGTGCGTCTATGGGAATGTTTGACCATTTTTCCAGAAGCGCACTTGTGAGGTCAGGTGACTGATGTTGGACGAGAAGGCCGGGCTCGCAGTCTCCGCTCTAATTCATCCCAAAGGTGCTCTCTCGGGTTGAGGTCAGGACTCTGTGCAAGCCAGTCAAGTTCCTCCACCCCAAACTTGCTCATCCATGTCTTTATGCACCTTGCTTTGTGCACTGGTGAGCAGTCATGTTGGAACACGAAGGGGCCATCCCCAAACTGTTTCCACAAAGTTGGGAGCATGAAATTGTCCAAAATGTCTTGGTATTCTGATGCCTTAAGAGTTCCCTTCACTGGAACTAAGGGGCCAAACCCAACCCCTGGAAAACAAGCCCACACCATAATCCCCCCTCTACCAAACTTTACACTTGGCACAATGACACAGCATCTAGTAGCACTTAAGTAAGAAATATACACAAGAGCAAACTTTTATCATTTCTATAATGCCATCCTAACTGAATTCTCCATATATGCCACTAGATGGCAATGGGCTTGGAAGTAGTTCATCCCTGTAGTAGACTAGGACATCCCTGTAGTAGACTGGGACTTTATGATGAACACACTGAATTCTGTGTAGTGACACTAAACTCAGGAGTTAAAATTAATTCCAGTACCTTAACTATTAGCAAAAATGTATCTTCTTTGTGTATCACTCGGCTGTAGATCCTCAAATCATCTCTGAATTGGTGCTGACACTGTCCTTCCTTCTGGAGGGTGGTTACTTTTGTTCCCCATGGTGCCTGTGTGTGTTGTAAAGTAGCCATCGCTCCAAGATCACTCCTGTGATGGACTACAATCTCATGTTTGGTTCATTAATTTGTTTTGAGATTGTAGTCCCCCATGGGAGTGAGCCTGGAGCGGTGGCTACAGGGCCGGTGCTAGACTATTTTCCGCCCTAGGCAAGATCAGCTACTTACACCATTCCTTCCTCCCATCACGGATCGGCTGAAGTCTGCAGGAGATGGCTTTGTCTCCAGCGATCATCATCCAATCCTGTGAGGAAACCACTGGTCGAGGCTGCACTCAGGGTCGGACCAAGAGCATCATGGGTCTTGGTGCTGAGCAAAAGACCCCTAGTGTCACCTTTCCACTCTAAATAAGCTATTGGAGCACAGATCACACTCCAATAGCTTATTGCTCGGCTTCAGCAGTCGAGCAATGACAGCTACGCGACCGGAAGTGATGCAATCAGTGTCGCTCACAGACCCATAGAGAGGGGGAGGAGAAAGGCGAATGAACACAGGCAGCAGAGCCCGGGAAACAAGGCAGGGGTGTCGGTCGGTCGAGCAGGGTCTGGCACCGTACCAGCCTCTGGAAGCGATCTGGCAGCAGATGAGCTGCCGGAATCTCTTCCATTGTAAAGCCAGCAGCCGGCTTTACAAATGTAAACACAGTCCGTTTACACGGGCCCTCTGCCACAGTGAAAGGATCCGACCCTGGCTGCACCCTAGGTTGCAGTGTGCCCTAGCTGGCCCTGGGTGGCTACTTTACAACACACACAGGGACCATGAGTAGCCACCCTCCAGAAGAAAGGATATTGTCAGCACCAATTCAAAGATGATTTGAGGATCTAAAGCTGAGTGATACACAAATAAGGTACATAGTTGTTTATAGTTAAGGTACTTGAATGCATTTTTTAGATGTAACTCCGAAGTTTAGTGTCACTTTAAGTAGTTAGCCCCTGCATTGAAGTTACAGTGCTCATTGGAAGGACAGACTGGGGAAAAGAAGGGCACAGCTGACTTCTAGAGGCGGAGTCAGCTGTCACTTAGGGAGCTGGGGTGGATCCTGACAATTTTGTTGGAATCCTTCACAGCTGCACCATGGCTCTGTGCTATGTGGCCTGTGCTAGGCACTTGTGCCAATGGCTTTCTGCCAGGGAAGTGATGGCAACTCAGCATATTGGTTGGCCAAATCAAGGCAGGTTCTCTTTGCTTTCAGCACCCATGTAAATACTTTCTACCTGGCCATTGATGAACTTCTGAAGAATAGTGAAGTGTGCACAGTGATTTGCCTTCTGCGTGCTGTGGAAGTAGCTCAGTGGGTAGAGTGCTCATCTTGTACGCTCTAGGTGATGTGTTCAAATCTGTATGTAGAGAGGTAAATTCTGTGATTTATGAGTCCCTGTACACTTTTATAGTCCCACCTCCAAAGTTGTCTTTAGTATATACTTTTACTGAGAAGGTTTGCACATGTCCAGGCCTTGTGGTGCATGTGGTTTGATTGCTGCTTTAGAATGCTGCAGGCCTTGGCTTGCCCAGTTTGAATCTCTTCTGTGGTAACATGTTTGTTTTAGTATTCAATGGGCTCAGAGAGCCAATCTCCATGATATAGGAACATGAGCAACACATTCTGTTGTCTTCTGGTTCTGTGGTGCAGCGTGTAAGGCTCCTGGAGCCTGAATCAGGGGGTTGTGGGTTCGATTCCCAACACTGGGTGGAAAGTTGGTCATTTGATGCAGGACCAAGACCACTGGGTTGTGTGAAGACCCAGTGGAAGTGCTCAGAGCTTGAACATGTGGGGGTGAGGACCACCTTCCTTGGGAGATTTGAAGTGGTGATGTGGATCACCATCCTTGGTGAAGTAGCCAAATGATTCTGTCCAAGGAAAGCAGTGGAGTGGAGTGGAGTGGACAGAGAGAATGGTGCAAGGTTTCTTAAACATGTCCTTAATTTTAGGCAAAATAATGCAAAAGCAATTACTGGTGCTTGTTTTTCTGTGAGGCACTTGGCCTCTTCCAACTTGCCAGGTCACCCTATATCCCCTTGCCATTTAAGGTGCACCTATCTTTGCCAATTCATTCACATATCTCCCTGAACACCCAGGTCATATGGCTGGAGTTTACTTCACTGAGGTTTCATTCACATGGTGCCACCTCACAGCTCTTTGAGGAGCAGGTCCACTTCTTTAACCCCTCACCAGGTTCTTGTGACCAGAGATGCCCCTTCATGGTTTGAGTGTATGTCACTGAAGGTTCATTCACATAGTGCCAACCTCATAGTTCTTTGGTGAGAAGGTCCACTCATTAACCTCTTACCTGGTTTTTGTGAACAGTGGGTGCCCCTTCATTCACATGCTGCCAACCACCTCATAGTTCTTTGGGGAGAAGGTCCACACCTTACCAGGTTTTTGTGACCAGGGACGCCCCTTCACATTCCACCAAGCACATTGTTGCTGTTTCACCCCAAACAGCCATTAGGTAGCTTGCTCTACCTTGGGAATCGAACACTCGGCCTTCAGATTCCACAATCGTCGCCCTTCATGTGACTGAGCCACAGCCCTGGGTGCTTGAGTCTGTAAGCAGTGGTAATACAACTCAAATTCAACTGAGGTGATCAAGTAAGGTAATACAAATTGTAAAGTGCAGTACCCCGTAGCAACCAATATGAACCATACCCGGTAGGAAAGCTGATTGGTTGCTATCGGTTTCTGCACTTTATGTAACTTTCATAAATAAATCTGAAAAGGTGGCCATCTGAAGATTTGAACTCACAACCATTCTATTAGTGAGACGGCCATCCTACACACAAGACCACTGCCTCAGATGGTGGGCGGGTGCCAAAACCAGAGCTGTGATATCAAGACATACCGTATGCTTGGCGGATTAATGGTTAAATTAAT